GCTTAGTGAGCTGAATCTCCTATCATCTTATGATAATTATAAGGCATTTTGTTATCATTTAAGAATGAGGAGGATAAATCCTGTATTCCAGAGATAAATGAATTAATTAGATTTGTAACTACCATCCATCCAAAGCTATTATCATCAAAGCTCTTTATATTTTATTTGACTTATTCAACTATAATCTTCCGACTCTGTTATTACCTGGCTTGGAAGAGCATGTTTGAGTCTGAGACTAAGCAGGTAAATGATTCAGCTGCCTGGTTCACATTCAAGCTTTAACCGGACTGATTACATTTTTTAACATGAAAGCTCCACTGTCACTGGTGCGAACCTGTACTCCGGGGTATTGAAGGGAGACAAAACATTGTTCCCTCTAAAAGTGTAGGAAAAACTGCCTGCAGTGCAGCCTACATAATGAAAATGTTTTTTAAAAATGCCAGTGAGCAGGTATGTATAATTCAAATAGTAAAGGCACAATGCAGCATTTGGTCAGAGCAAAATCTTTTCATCTGTATTCCACAACAACAACTGCAGCAACACCCTATGATGCAACTCTTCTACCGTCAAAGGTTCTCTCCAGGCTCAAGGAGTTCAGCAACTCTTTGGTACCATGACAGACGGTAGAGCTCTGCTTCTGGGGGAACTATTACCCATAACTAAATGGACTTTCCACTTTTGGTCTGTGTGTGTTTGTATGCGCACAAAGGCTAAGGGTTACTTTCTTATCTCTTGTTCTGGGTAGAAGAAAGTGATGGAGCTCCTCTGATAATTAGACTGGAAAGTGTCTTCTTCAATAGCCCTTCACCTACTGTGAAGAATCATCCACAATCTCCCACTCAGAGCTCCCACTCTGATGGGGCAAAGACAAGCCCCCACACACTTACAGGTACGCACACATGCACTCTACATATAGCCATTCTTACCTGCTCCAGTTTCCAGTGGAACTCAGCAGGTCTGAAAGTGTCAAACTGCGTGAAATCTCTTCTGAGCAGGAACACCAGGCGACAGTTGTGAACATACAGAGAATAATGGTGGCGGTTCATCTCTGCAAAGGTAAGACCACAGACGTGCATGGTCACACAAACACATGGAAACTGCTCACTATCACCCTTGCTATATAGTGTTTTTATCTACAACAGTGCCCTGACGGACAAAGAATGCTGCACATGCTCATTTATGTTTATCTTCTGTGTTCCAGTGAAGATAAATTGATATTTCCAAAAGATGATCATAGAGCACAATTTGAAAGTTCATATATTCAGCTGCCTCATCTAGAAATCATCTTGACATGGATGCTTCATGTTTCTCCATATGGACATAACAACGGAGTTGTGACAGACAGTGTTTGTCTTACATGCAATTACGGTACATGCTTTATAACATTTGCATTTAGTTTACATACAGAATAATCATTTAAAAAGTATTTTTTCAGTAATCAAGAAGCAGTTAACCAATGTTCTCAATATATTTTCGTAAATTACACAATTTTTTTTACTGTGTGACTTTCAGATAGAATTAATCAAATTAATATTTCCTAAAACAAATGTATCTAAAAGTGAAAGATACATTTGGAGAGAATCAGATTTTTTTTTTACTCTGGTTTTCTTATCATTTTGCCTGCTGCAAACATAATCCCTTAGAGGAATGAGAGAAATCAGTACTTGCTAACTTTTTTTAATATCGATCCTTTTTGGTGCAAGTAACATTATTTAACTATGATATCTCAAATAAATAAGAAGGGGTTTGGAAGGATCTGTTGGTCTAAAATGAACCCTGCTACCATTTTGCATAACAAAATCAAATTGCACATTTTTTATCTAAAAAGCCATCTGTTAGACTAGTGTGAGAGCTTGCAGTGTGCAGATGGCTTATTCAATAGTTCAGACAGACCTCGTCACTGTGGGTTTAGACTGAGTTTAGTTTTCTTCTTTCTTTAAAAGTTGCTTTGTTTATCGTATAATTAACTGTGTTGTAATGTAGAGAACAAAGTATTAAATGTGTCTGTGTTAAAGCACACCACAATTTTCCTGAACACGGATCCAACTGTTACTCAGAATGAAGACAATAAAAGGTGAGTATATGTCAATTTTTAGTTCCAGGTCCTGTCTTTCTGTGTCATCCAATGCTGCGCAGATATTAAACAATATCCTCACCTGTCTTGTCAGAGTTGCACAACAAGGTTTCCTTCTCAGCTCTGAGTCCAGGACTGGGGCCATGTTTCATCCATGTTGCTATAGTAAATTGATCTGTCAGGTTTTGGGGAACCACATGATCTGGAACATTTGCAGCCTGATGTCCATCAAATTTGTAGATGAGATCACTGTCTCGTGCTATGTCAGTGAGGAGAGATGCTGTCCAGTTTGTGGAAGGGCTAGAGGCAGGAAGGAGGTCGGTGCTGCCTGATGCTGCACCTGGATGTGTTCAACACAGGACAAAAAAACAGCCTGAGAAACACCATGAGCAACATTCTTTTAAAAACAAAAATTAGGTAGGTCAAATTTTAAAGGATCTTTAGACATACATTTATGCTTTTGAAAGACATAATATATGACTACCCCAAATCTTCCCTTTTGTTTTTATATAGCTTATTGGTTTGAATTATGTGAGTTTTCTTTTTATAAGTTCACTATAAATGTTAAAATTCAGGGGAAATGATTATTTATAGTTATTTATGGATTCAAATGAATATCAAGAAAAAATATCATATGTTAAATGCCAAATGTCGGGGGAACATGAGACAGCCAGATATAATAAATGTCTCCATGACAGTTTTTACATTTAAGGCAAATAACAGCTGAGATTACTCTAGATTGAAATGAATGAAAATCAGATTAATCTAATGAAAAGGTTAGTACATCAAGAGGTAATATCTTCTTTAAAATACCTTTTCATTATTACTACCCTTTGCACTCTAATCATCTTGCCATATCAAACAGTACCTCATCATTTTAACTGAGTACTGGTATGATGAGGTACCCCCCTTCCGTCTCCGTTTCTCTTTTGCATTACTCACCACAGAGTTTTTGTAGTGACTTTTCAGAGTAGGTTTCACGGTCACAGCCCTTTCCAATGTGATTTGTCTGAAGTTCTACCATTGCCTTTAAACCAGACAAGGGACCTCCACACGTTTCCAGGTGCATCTTGGGAAACAGCTGCTTGCTCCCAGTTCCTGGCTGATAGTCCACACGCTTGTTCCAACCTTAAACAATCAAAGTGATTTGAATGTTTATGCACTGCTGCTGGTATATGCAGCTGTGTTTGTGCTCCCCTCTACTCAAGTTACAGGTAATCCGTGATTGCATAAGTAGATGCAAGAGATCCTTTTAGGTGTTCAGATCACAATGGTGGAAGGGAATCACCCTGATTGTGAATTTCATCTCACATATTCTGAGACTAATCATAAACAGAACAGTGTGATTAGGTTTGAGAGTAATGGAAAGTTGGAGTCTCTTCAAAAAGCAGTGGATGAGAAATAGCTGACCTTTTACACAATAAATAAATATAGTGTTTGAGGTCTGCACATATTAGATTTGATTAGATCCCATGAGGGAAATTCAGTAAACCCTTCACTGCAGTATGTTTTATTAAGTTTTAAGTTATACTTTACTACCTATATTAAGAGCCACTTTAGTCACCCAAATTGCAGATATAATGGATGGGAGATTTCACTATTTGAAGGAGCTTCGTAGAGCCAGCATAATTCTTCACAGTCTGAGATTTTATCTTCTTAGAATCTGTGATCTCAGATCAGATCTAACAAAACTTGCCTCCTATCAAAGGGCTTTACTTGAGGCTTTTTGGGCTAAAAGTTTTCAATATCATAATAGCCATAATAAGAAAGTAATGTGCAGCTTCACTGTGTGACAGTGGATCTATTTATCTTATTATGAGTAATTTTCTAATCTTTACTCAGAGTCCCTGAGTGAATATGCTAAACTATATGGGCTCACTGATATTAATTTGATTGTTAGATTTATCTGAACTAATATGCCATGCGTAAAAAATCAACCATCTAGGTTTTGAAAATATATGAAGTCTTTTTATCATAGCTGTACATGTAAGGTGCCATTAGGCATGAGTTTGATATGTAGCATAATTGTTTTTGGATATTACTTACTAAATATATCTGCTGCACTCATGAGAACATTTGGCAGATGGGAGTGCTGGGCAGGGTTCTTTTTGTCATGTTTGGTCTGAGTTAAGGCTAAGAAACTCCAGTATGATTGAGTTAAAAAAAACCCAGCAGGAAACAGCAAAAAGGCTCATAATCATGCATGCTCTGTTTGTTGGATCATTAAAAATATGGTGGCAGGAAATGCCTTTTTCCTCTTTGGAAGAACCTACACTCCAACTATGCTGAGCATGAATAAAAAACATAGCATAGCTCTTTTCCATGTTTGATTCCAGCACTGAATCGAAAGTTGTCAAAAGTCATGCAGAGAATTATGTCTACCAGGTGGCCGTTTGCAGGGTAGAATTTTACAGTCTCCACATAAATAAATAAAGTTTCTTAACACTCCAAGAACAGTCACTACTCTCTGGATTAATTTATGTAACTTTGTTTTTTCCCTCTGTTGAGTGGCATATTCATCTGTCCTAACCCCTTTCTTCACCCTCTTATCTTTTCCTTTCTTTCGCCCTTATTCCACAGTGAGCTTGATTCCTGAGATGCTGTCAGTGCTGACAGGTGAAGTAGCAAGGGAAACAGGCTGACTCGAATGCCAAGCCGCTGGCATGTTCAAGTAGGGATAAAAAAAAAATCTTGTCAGTTTCCCCTCTGGAGGTTTCTGTCAGGTCCTCTGATACCCTCAAGAAACAATCATTCTAAAATGAGGAAGAAATTCCCTTGAAGGAAAGGTTAGGCCCTGAATTATGCAATCCTGTTACATTATCTAAGTTTATGTACATATCAACATATTCTTAAGTAAAATTCTGTTTACCATTGTGTGGTAAGGATTTATGCTAATATTACAGTTATAGGTTATTTATCCCTAACCTTGCCATCCTGGTTTGCAGACAGGCTTGACATCAATATGCACATTCACATCCTCCTTGGCCTTCTTCTGACCACAGTCAAATGCAGACACCATAATCTTGTAGCTTTGCTGCTTGTCATAACTCAGTCGCTCTGTGTTTCTGATGTTACCTGAAGGGGACAAGAACAAAGGAAGAATAATTAGGATTATCTACCAACTGGGGAAATAAGAACGTTATGCTCATTTGACAATAATAAGCAATAATTGCTCCACTGAGCAATAATTGAAACTGACTTAGCATTTAAGAAGCTGCAAGAAAAAAAAGAGAAAAGAGATTCATGGTTCAGTAACCTTGTACTGCATTTGAATATAAAAACCTCTCTGTAGGCAGTCTGGGTGGAACTGCAATGATGGATTATCTTTACTGGTCACCGGGGTAACAGTGTAAAAACAGTGAGAGTGAGACAGAGGAGATGCCAGAGGGCTCCGGATCTTCACAGACATGTCTTGGAAGGTATCTAAAGACCTTTCAGTACAGTCCGCTGCCAGCTACTTTTAAAGGATATTCAATTAGGTGTGTTGTTTTTTACATAATGTGTCATATTTCACACTGACAAAGCTCCAAATTGCCAGACATTATTTAAGTTACCAAGACAACATTTTCAAGGATCATCACATTGGTTTCAGAGATTCTTTTTCAACTAATAAACATTAAGGTTCAGGTTCTTTTCGCACATTTGCCAAATGTGCCTAGCAAAGGAAAACAAATAGATGCGATTGTAATTTAATTAAATAAAACAGAACATGGTAATGTCAACCATTCCATAAACAATTCTTTAGGCTGCTGGATGTTTCTCCAGGTTATGGTTCTTTCAGAATAAGGTGTTGCACTTTGCAGGCAAAAAATAAAGCTGAAGAAAGTCTAAGTGTGCAGAAAGAAATAAGCCAGGCTAACATTACAGAAAAAAACAGATGAGGAAGTACACAATCTTAAACAGTCACTCGTTAAAAGATGAAAAGATGTAAACTATAGGCCTCTCAAAACACATAAAAACAGACAACTATTATAACTATCACTATTATTATTAACTTAATATTACTATCAAATTATTTCAAAAATTTCTCCCCAAAGGAAATTCTCATTTCATGCTGCTGTTGCTTGTCATAGCTAACTGAAAGGGAACAAACAGAATAGTGTAGTGATGTGTCAGTGACTGCTTTCACTTAGCATGCAGGTATTGTGGTCAAGGTGTTTTAAAGTTATGGTGTCTGTGACTACCTGATGTGAGCCACTGTGTACCTTGAAGTATGCACTTGTCAGCGTGAACTCTGCCATATTCATAAAAATATTAGATGCAACCTTGGCAACCTGTTTTACACATTTTTATTCAGTTTTGAGTATTCTATTACAAACTGGGACATAATGTCACAGATAATTTTGAATTTCATTCTGTAGGTGGGTCTAATATACTTACCGTACTCAACAGATAAAGCTTTGTTTAGACTCAGCTATAATATCTAACTTCCATTGCAGCCATTGCATATTGGAATTGCTTCCAATATGTAAAGTCTACAACACCTGGTCACTTCAAAAAGTACTGATTGGCTATTACAACTTTAACAAAGTGAAGGACACTCTATATTTAATTTTGAACAACACAATACACACAAGTCAACTTCTATTGGCAAGACAGAAAATAAATCCATCCATCGATCTATCTGTCCATCTAATTATCAGCATCAAGCAAACAAATTAATAACCATGACAGCTGTTAATACAGCCACCCAATCTATTGAATTGACTGAATTCATTAAGTCATATGTTTACATTTAAATTAACTGTAATCTATGGTAAACTTGTGTCATGCAGTTTAAAGATGATAAATGCTGGAGCCCATTTACTTTTAAATCTGATGTTGCGCTTGCCTTATTACAAATGAGATACTGCTTTTCTGTCTATAAAATATAACCAAAAACCAATAAATCTCCATAATCAGTAGTGAGATTGTGAAGTGGTCAAATTGATTCAGTCAGACAACAGTCTGATACATTGAAAAATACTGGGAAGATAAAATGAAAAAGAAATCAGTAAAAATATAAGAAGAACCCTGACTGAGAGGGACACAATATAAAAAGCTGTGTGTGGTACTATCTGATCGAACATGTGTGAACACACTTACAAATGCACACAAACAAAAAGAAAGCACTTCAGGCTCCCTTCAGCTCGGATTATGCTGCATTTTGATCAGCACATCATGGATGTGGAGGCTTAGGAAAAAAGACAGGATAAATCCCAAAGCCGAGATTTTACTAAGGCAATTCCTCAGAATACTCAGAATGGCACTTAAATAAAAATAGAATGAACTCTTTCAGTCAGGTAGGCGCAACATAAAGTCTTACAAGAATGCAAGAAGCAAGAATCTTCCAAGTATAACATAGACTTTGTTAACATACCTCTAAATGACAAACTGATGAAAGGCTATACTGTGGATGGAAACAGCTATGTTGCTGCACAGTTAAAAGGTTCCTGGTTCAAAATCCTTCTGTGGATGTGTGCATTTTGCACATTCTCCATACGTAAGTGTGTGTATGGTCCTCCCACTGTCTCGAAACATGAATGTTGGGCTAATTAGTATTTCTAAATTGATCTTAGGAGTTGGTGTGAGTGTGTATTTGTTGTTCCTTTGTTAATTTCTGTGTGGTCCTGTGATGTTAGTGAACTGTCCACCTCTAGTCCAATGATGGCTGACATAGGCTCAAACCCTTCTGAACTGGATTAAGCAGGTATAAAATGTATATTAAATAATAAATTCCAAATTAATTAGTAGTTCGGTCTATGCTGTTAAAAAAATTCAACAACAAAAAAACAAAAAATATGCTTGAAAAAGAGTCAACGTCAACGTTTAAAACTTCAACAGTTTACCTAATAACATTATTTCTTTACAAACATGATTTCCATTGACCACTGTAGGACTCATTATTAGTCAGTTCCCTCGTCACGTTATCAGAGACTTTCTCATTTTCACAGAAGGTTGTAAGATCACAGGAATGGCATGTACCATACAAGGATGTTTTTCTTATTCTCTACATCAAGACATTAACTATTCTGTTTGTTTTATGATCAAATGGGCAAGAATGGCACACTTATTTAAAAGCAGATTGCTTCTTGTATTAGGAATGCACTATGTATCATGGGCTAAAAATATCTTCACTTAGCCCCTTATTCCAGTTTTTATTTTTAGTTCAGAAAACCTAAAACACGGTCAGTTTTTTGCATTCAAGGCTTCTTTCAGTTGTGGGACTCTTGGATAATGGATTAGTTATTTATGAGAAATGGTAGCACAGCACACGATTTTGTCTATGTTTAGAGGAGTTCAAATGGACAAAAACTCAAATTCTATAAATTGGCCCGCACGGTACCTGATAGACACTTCCATGTAATCATAGAGAACACAAAGTCCTGATGTGTCAAAAAAATTAATCACATCACAACCTAGGCAGATGACCATGTAATCTCAGGACATGCTCCCACATACTTACCATTGCGGTCTATCGCAAATGGCGTCCCTGGAGTGACAATTTCGTAGTTGCAGATCTGGCTGTACTGAGGTGAACAGTCCTGGTCCCAAGCTTCCACCTGAAATTAATAACATTGAACTTATCCCTTCAGGCCTTCAGTTATTTCTTGCGGAGGGAATAATAACAATGTTTACAACAGTTTTTGTGGCGTTGTCACAATGGCTGTAACAATAAACTATTACCAAAAATGCAGACAGAGTACCTAACGTTTGGAAGTTTTGCATACCTGTAAAATACTGTCATAGATCTTTCCTTCGATCACTGATGCCTTGTATAATGAGTCTCTAAACACGGGACTGAACTCATTGACGTCGTCTACCTGGATGTGTACCACTGCCCTGTAAGGAGGAAAAGTAAGCCAATAATGAGCACACCAGGAAAATAGGACACCTGGAGACAAAGGCCTTTCACCCCTACAGCTTATAAAAAACACAATTATCAATTTATTACAAACAGGACTGAGAAATTTTGGATAAAAGTCTTCAGGTTTATATTGGCCCTGCATTGGTGTAATTTTTCTTTTACAGATGTACAGTATGTGGCCAGCAAATTCATGGACAGACTGTTACACAGCAACTATTTTGTCTCTACAGTTACTTTTTCCTAAAAGGTTTCCCCTTTTTGGTCCTTTTTTGTCCATCAACCCAACTCCTGAAATTGAACTGAAAATGATAAATCTTTGCTCACTAAAGTCTGTGAATGACACAATAATGTTTTCTTCTCCAGTGACCTTCCCTGGCAGCAACTTTCCATGTATCTGAGAAGGCACATCTGGCTAATTAATGACATTAGCTTAATGAGGCCTATTTAGAATGTCATGCCGTGATAATGTCACACAGCCACACATAGAGACTTGCTCACACTTATACTGTGTGTCATTCATCTTTCAATAAGGAAATTCATCACAGATCCCTGGGCTGATAAATGTCTCTCTTCTCTCCTTTTTAGTACAGAGCAGGAGCTTAATTTGGCAGCTTCTCATCCCTGGCTGAAGGACCAGAGGGTCTGATTTGCTGCTGTCCAAACGAGTCTGCCTGTCTGTCAATTTAATTCTCATAGCCCTGCACACACATATATTGATGGGCTATTAGGAGGACATATCCTCAGATCTGCAAGCTCAGCTGTGTGTGCTGTTCTATCTAGGAGAGAAAGAAAACTTATTTTTCTAATAAAAAAAAAAGAAAAAAAGAAACATACAGGAATTGGAGCAATCCAGGACTATCTGTAATTCTAAAAAAAATAATTTATTTTAAACTATGAATATATTTTAAAAACTATATTTGTGTTCAAATTTTGGGGAAAAAGAACAGAATATGTAATGTCTCAGAGTGTATGTGGATTCGAGATTTCTTTTGTGAAAAAAGTCAGAATATCAGATATCATTCTCCTTTTGAGTGTCTGTAATTGTCAACCATGATGAATGCTCACAGTACCAGAAAATGCAGGGAGATCAGTGCCCCTGCACTTTCACTACACAATTTCTATTGGGAAAGATAAAAATGCACCGCTGTGAAAGTTACAATATTTGTTTAACTTTTGAGCAAACCACAGCCATTCATTTTCTACTGTCAATTATAATCAGACCTCTTAAAATTTAAAATAATTGTCCGTTTTTGAGAAATCAATTTTTATTTGCAGAAACTAAACACAATCCAATCAGTGAAAATGATGGACCATTATTTTAAAAAGTGTTGAATGACAAGATTTCTTAAGCGTCAGATTACATTCAGACCCAAACATATTAGTGGACTTACTTATGGGACTTTTTCCAGTCAGTGCCAGTGGCTCCAGCTCCACAGTCATAAGCCTGGATAATGAAAGTGTACTCCTTTTGGCTTTCACAGTCCACAGGGCTACTTGCTCTAAGGACTCCTTCTCCTGATGTACGATTCAACACAACCGCTTGGAATGGGGCATCCTGGCCAAAGATCTTAAATGCACAAATCTCCCCTAAAAAGACCAGGAAAAGTAGAAAGATTACACAATTTTCCATGTTGAATAACACACTAATTAATGCATTAAGTACTATATCAGTGAATCATTCCATTATTAAAGTGGAGATTTTACAAAAGAAAATCTGTACTCCCTGAAAAATAAAAGTTAGTAACCACTGTTACAGTACATAAGGTGAAATATCACAGCCTTTCTTTTATCATAGTGAAACAGACGGCGTGAATGCTCTAAATATAAAATCTTATGGACATAAGCCATAATAGGTTTGCTTTTTGATTGAAAATTCTAGATGAAAATTGCCCTCAGTACATGACTCAACAGTACACAGTCACTGAGGATTTAGTGTTCTTTATATGGAGACAGTTCATTAATTTAGTTTAATTTCTTAAGCGCATGCCATGGACGAACTCGAACATAAGAAAGCATTTGTAATAGGTAAAACATTTTCTGTAACAAAAATAATTATGAGATCACATTTCTGGTCAAATATACTCTCTTTGCATAGATCCCAACAACTCCCCTTTCTCCAAAAGTATTTTTTCTGGCCAAGCAGTATAGCTCTACAATCACTAAGACAGGTGATGATGAATCAAACTGGGTAATGAAAACTAACAGTAAACATAGAAGACATTTTCTTTACAGTACAGCTATCACTTCAAATTTCAGCCCATGCTTCATTTGTGTGCACAGAGCTCCTTTTCAGTTTGAGCCGCTGACTCCATAACAGTGCAAAGCTCTTGGTGTGTAGTTTAGAGAAAAATCATTTCTAATGCCTCTGACTTCACCAGCTCAGCAGAGAGTTCTAATCACCGAGTGCATTGTGTTGTGCGTCTGTGTGCAGATGTGGCTCTGACATAATCTGTGGAGTTCATCCTCTGCACAAGTGTTCATTTCAGGGATTTGGGAAATCTTCTTGGAGAGAAAACAAAAAAAACTGCTGTGCACTGATCCTGGGCAAGTTGATACCACTCAGAACATAGTGGGACTGAACTTGAGGAATTTTAGTTTGCATGCTTACATCTTCTCCATATTTTCTTGTGCAATGTGCATTTAATACGTTTTCCCTCTCTAACCTCCTTTTAATCCGAATACATTTTTCTAAATATCTCTCTCATATCTCTCTCAGGTTGATGATGCCTTGTTCACATTTGACCCTCCTTGATGTTTCATGTATAATTAGTTTATAGTACAATATGTTTGCCTGGAAAAATAACACTAAGCAGGAACTGAGGGGTTGGGAAGGAAGAAGAGCAATGAGCATTAATTTGATCCTGCCTCCACATGCACAGTTTTATATAATCACTGAAAAATAAATGTATTAGATGGACCCATATCAAATATTTACTATAGGGTGCTGGGGCCAGGGAAAGGTAATCCCTAAAATGAAAACTTGTGCAGAGGAAACATAACGGTATCACAAACTGGAGGAATATGTTGCACCAGCATACACATTACCACCAACATGACAGACTGAGTGCAAAAGTGGAGGTACTCATATATACACATGTAAACATTATTAAACCAACAGAAACATTGACACTTCAACTCATGGTAATGCATAAATTAAACCAAGTCTAATATTCTGCCCTGAATGTCACAAGAGAAAGGTTTTTTTTGCTGAGGGTAGGTGGCCTGCCGCCATGGCAGATTGAGAGGGAAGTTAATGATTTAGCAAAATCTGGCTCAATAATAACAGTAATCAAAAATAGATGGAACTCCTCAGGAAGCTTGAGCACAGTAAACTGCATCGACAGAAAATGTAAAACTGTCAGGGAATATGTATTTCATAGAATGTTAAATTGCTAATATAATGGAATTGGATGGGATGAACACAATTAATGACAAAATGATTTTCCACAATTCAACATGTTGTCACAGGGATCCAAAACTAATTTGTTTATTGTTAATGTAAAATGGCTTCACAAAATAAAATTGAAAAATGCACTTTTATTTATTTATTTTTGTATTTACCAAGTACCACTTCGGGTTTAATCTCAACAGTTGATCCATAAAACATGTCTGTAATTTGATACGTATTTTTCAGTTGGACAGAGTAGCAAACTTCAACATTAAACAATACAAGCTTACAGTTTGGAAACACCTTGCCATTCGTTTTGAAAGAGATGGTGTGTTCTCTAGAATGATTCCATACCTTAAAGCCATTTATTTAGTTGTATTTTATCAAATCACACAAGTAAATACAGGGAATGTGCAGGAAGTGCAAAGTCTAAACTTGTTTGACAATATTCACAACACAGTGACACAACACAGTGCAAAGATGTTTTCTCATGTTCAATACCTTCAGAAGACACCATTAGTAAACTAAGGTGTGTCCAGTCTAAGTGTCCCATGTTCTCAGCATATTATGTTGCTCTTATGCTATGCACCAGGTTCTATGTGATTAGGTGAATGTGACTTGTAGTGTATAAAGGTGCTACATTAACTAAGCTATGTTACGTTCCATGATGTACAATTCTAAGTTTGTGAGAAATCAAATTACCAGTAGTCTATACAAGTTTAATTGAAAAAATAATAGAGAAATATTTAGATCAAGAGATTATCTCAAGATAAAAGACTTGATAGGAAACCATTATGAAATACTTTCATACATAGCAGCATTTTTTTCAATAACATTTTAGATTGACAATGTGTCCTCAATAGTTTATTATTTAATCGGCAATTTCACTGAAGTCTTTTCAAAAAACTTTATTTAATGTATTTTACATTAATTATTGCAGATGTCTTTAAGTTTACGTCGTTTTATGTTTAGTACTGAGCTTTTTTAATTTTTTTGTAAGGCACTTTGAGCACTGTGGGTTTTTTTTTTTAAATAGAGTGCTCAACAAATAGAATTATCAGTATATCATCGCTAATGAACAACTTGCTGAAAAGTTTTAGGACGCCAGATTTTGAAAGTAAGCTTCAAACATCGAGTCTCAACATAAAAAAAGATAGTTCAGTCAAGTTAATTCCTCCTCTTAATAGTGCCACAATCCATCTGGTGTTTTGGCACATGTTTTCCCTACTTAGTGCAGAATTGGAGACACAGAGGCTTCAATGTCAAGACCTGAGTGAATTTTTGTGTGTGTATACATGAAGGGAAATAGAGTGTGTGGCAGGAGGGAGCTGTAAGACCTTGATTAAAGAGAGGTTCTAAGCAGACTGAGTATCAATCAGTTTTAAGCCATGATTCCCTCATGCTTCTGCCTGCAGCGCTGAGCTCATGGTGTCCTTGCTCCTTTAGTTCAATTAAGTTGTAGTTCAATGCAACAGATAAACTCTGGCTATAATCAGTTTGACACAAATTCACAATATCCAGTGTGCAATGTCCAGTGAGTATTTTTTTTTTTACTAGGCTCTAGAAACTCACACTGTGGCCAGTCTTTTTGAGGGCTGTGTTGTAGTACCATACATTTTAATAGTAGTTATTTGACTCAACTTTGATTTAATCCTTTATAACACACTGAAAAGATCTGCGGTTCAGGGTTAGCTCTCAATGGTATTTTAAAATGGAATACAATGTCACAGAAAAAAAAGGGAAACTTCCTGATTTGAAAGTTGCAGTAGTAGAGATTTGGTGGTTATTACGTGATTTCTTGCAGTAAATCTTGTTGTCTACTAAATGCATGTTTATTTATTGGCTAAATGAGTTGGGATTAATCTCTTGACACAGTTCTGATTAACTTGAGCTGCCTGAAAACCAGAAAGATTCATACATAAAAATGAGAATTCACTTTTCTTTATAATGCTTTAAAATGAAATGTCAGAAACAAAAATAATACCAAAGCATTAGTAAGGAAATAAACTGTTCAACAAGTTATTTAACTTTGCTGTTATGATTTTGTGCGAGGAAGGAAGGAAGAATACAAAAAAATGAGGAAGATTATACAATTGAATGCCAATGGATTTTCTTAGTTTTTTTGTTTTGTTTTTTTGCTGGTTGCAGGAGGTTAAGTTGTCAGCTATGGCTCTCCAGATGTCAGTCCCTGGCTGAAATATATAGATTCATCTGTCCACAAAGGTTTATTCAGAAGCAAGCAAAGCTTTCAATAAACAATTCACAAATGCTGAAAGCAATTTGTATGCTAAATCTCTCTGAGGTCTCTATGTAACATTCTTTGAATATCACCAAATGTACCATATGTGAAATATAGCATTTGGAATATAATTAGAAAAAATGTTAAGTGCATTACTTCATTGATGAAACAATGGACAACAACAACAACACATTTCAATGCTATGTCATTCAGTTTTTGAGCAAATGTGTATGTGCCCATTGAGGTAGATGTCAAAGTGTCAATAAATTCGGTTTTAATTACTAGTTTGCTGTATATCAAAGCAGATTTATTAATAGTGTTAAAGTCTTTTTTCCATTTATTTCTACAATGTATATAACCTGTAAAATTGTCCTGCCCTCCCTTTTCACTGTTGCCAAACAAATAATTGTTTACTAAATCTCCCTGTGGATCTTTCCTTGCTTGATAGGGGTTTCATTTACTACTTCAGAAATCCGAAATATCGTACAAGCAGTTCTTGGAAGTTTTCAATACATCACCAGGGACCTGTGCTACAAAGCAAGATTTTGGGCTTAGCCAGATCTAACCCTGTGTTTGCAGGTACATGAAAGTGGCTTAACCTCTTACAGGTGTATGCTACCATAGGCATTCAGCAAACCTTGCTTGCTAATGAGGTTATTTTTATAATAAGAAATAAACAAAAACCCTGCCCAGTGACTAAATCATCTCTGGGAAAATATTTAATATGAAATACATATGTGGTATTGTAAAGGACTAAAATTCTAATTTTACTAACTGCCTTCATAAAAAATGCAAGTAACCTTAAAAATGTTAATTAAAAAAATGACTTGGATAATAATAGATTTCCTTGCTGTACATTCACACATACACACCCGCCCTTACACACTTTCCTTTCAAACTCTCTTCTAAGCTTATCCAAACAAAGTACTGCAACTAGGGCTTTCTTTGGTTTGAACTG